GGTAAGACTACTCCATGTTGCGCGGTGCTTATGGAACAGACGGTTGCACCTAAGTTGGAAGATGTGGATGCGAAGAGCGACATTCGCGACTTTATTCACTCCATTCGTGGGCACAAAGGTCGTATCCGCTTGACAAGCTTGACTGTCAATGATCTGTGCAACGATACAACTCGTTTCCTGATAGCGTCGCCTTCCTCGAAGCCCTGTCGACCACTGCGCAAAACTTGCCTCGAGATCCGCGATATCTCGTCCAAGAAGGTTCCATTTGACAACGATGGCAACCAAGAGCTTCTGTGTGAGGTTCTAGATGCGCGGCCAGGCGAAGTCGAGACACACGAGCGCGAAAAAGTACAAGATCAAGGAATTTGTACACAAGAAGAGTACTCTCGTTTCCGAATTGACTTCAGTGCGGCGGAAAATGATTCCTCTGTGAACGTGGATACCTCGGTAGCTCAGGCCGATGGTGACCATGAATTCGAAGAGAAGAAAGACATTGCCCAGCAAAATGAACCAGAAAATGACTGTGACGAGACTACACCAAACGTCAGTCCATCAGAGAGCAGTGGCTCGCTCAAAGCTCACTTTTTGACCGAAGACGAGCTTGGTAGTGCTCAACATGAACCGATTCTAGTCAGCAAAGACAGCTGATCAACTTTTGCGAAGCAAGAAAACCACCCAAACCAAAGACTGCAAACATGTCAGCTTAAATTTAGATGAGTTGATGCCACAACTTTCGTCGCGTTCTGACCGCTTTAGCCATTTCCTCATTTGCTGTCAGTATCTAAACTCGCTGTCTCAACTCTAAATGGAAGACTACATTCGCGGAGTGCTTTGTGGCTACTTGCAAGTGCAGAATGGAACACGAGATAATGCCAAGCGTAAACGCACTTTCGTCGTGCTCTCGGACTCGCGTATGGACTACTATCTCACTGACCCGCGACCAGCATTCACAGCCAAAATTGATGCCACCTACTTCCTCACAGAAGCTACACGTGTACATCACTACTTGGAGTTGAATTCTCGAGCTCCTCCACACTCCATTTGCTTGACGACCGACAAAACCACTGATGTTTACGTCGCTGATACGCAAGAAGAAGCCGATCTGTGGTTTCGTCACCTCTCTGAACGACTGGAAGCGCTCTCGACAATGTTAAAAGGAGCTCTTATGCTACGTAAGGAGATTTCAGCAAACCAACAAGTCAAACGCTTCGTACTGAAAACGAAGTATCGCTGGAAAGCGCGATATGTGGAACTCGGTCGCTCTACTCTGCGCTTCTGCAAACCTTCTGATCACAAGACAAAAACTATGAAACAATTTACACTCACGGCTACTAGTTTTACCGGTCAAGAAAACACTACGTACTTACGTCAGCTCTCCGTGTTAGCGTCGTACTCGATCCCTGTGGAACCAACGCCACAGACGCTCAAGGGGATCCAGAAGATTGAAAAAATGCGTCGTGAACAAGACGAAAAGAATCAACTTGACAACAGTGACACGAGCTTGAAAAACAACGAAGTTCGACCGAAAGGGTCCAGTGTTGCTGCTTTTTACCCTTTTATTGTGACTACGGGTCAAGCGTATATCCTGCTAGCAGCTCCTACTGAGCAGATACGAACGCATTGGATCCTGGCCATTCGACTGCGAATTATCGCTCTGAAGTATCGACACAATGGTGGGGCATCTCCTAAGAAACAACCTGGAATTTTAGCCCCACAAGAGTCCAATTCGTACCAGCTACAGAGCTTTGTTGAGGCTCAACCAAAGCCCGGTGGACCATGGAAACAGCACTACGTCGAATTGGACAATGGGATGCTTCGAGTGAAGAAAAGTGAGCGGAAATTGGGCTCCGTCTTTGAAGTGCAGCTCGTCCCAACGTGTCGTGTGACTCCATTACTTGAGAAAGCCAACGCCTTCACAGTGCGTAGTCTCGGCTGCGAAGTAGCGTTTGCCCCGGGTAGTGCGCCGGAAGCTCGACGTTGGATGGATTTAATCCGAAATGCAGCAGCAGCCGTCGATCGAGCACGTTACCAGAAGATTTTCCACGACGATATTCAGAAATTGTTGCGGAATAGTGTTGTGTACTCGCTTGATGTAGCTTCAGAGGCGAACGCTGGGATTGTCCTGGAAAAACACAAGAAGCGCATTTTCGTGCTAAGCCATGAGCCATCAGCTCCCCGATCGCCTAGACGAGTTAGTATGGCAGCAATTGTTCGACGAGTGAGTATGCTGACTGTAGCCACGTCCGGTTCTTCAAAAACTCCGTCTCCAATGCCAATATCCGCTTCATCTGCGGACTTGAAAGCCACAACGGAGACGAATAACTCGGCTATTATCCCGCAAGGGAGCGCGCTTATCGGGATTTCTCAGTTTGGGATGATGCACGACTCGGTCGACACCATTTGGCACGCAATTCGTCAGAAGAAAGGATGCTACAAGCAGGCAAAGAGACTGCTGTTCCGGGCTCCTGCTGTGAAAGAAGGCGTTGTTCGGGTGAAGTTCCGTGCTGCTGATGGCTGGATGTTGCATCAATGTCGTCTTGCCAGTGGAATGTTCCGTGTAACTCAAAGCACGGGTGATACTCTGATGGAAGTTGCGCTGAGAGATTGTGAAGTGGGGCTCTTCAGTGATGACGACTGCGTCAATGGCATCAAGCTCACTAGTAACGTCTCAACACGCACTCTTGTCTTCATGAACGTGGCTGTGGACGACGACGCGTTCCTGTGGTTTGCTATGCTCCACATGGAGATCTCCGTAGCCCAAAGCAGCTCGATATTCCCCTTAACTGCAATCTTAACTAACACCCCGTTGACTGCTCCATCATTGGGAACCGTGTCTGCAAGAGAGGATAAGCTGACGGCTGATCAAGCGAAAAGCTACCGGGACTGCACCGTCGTGGGGACTCGAGTCGAAGAGATCGAAAAATATGCTCGAGAACAGGAGAAAATTGTGCTTGGACTCGCGGCTGAAGTTCGTAAGAAAGAACAAGACAGCACAGAGCAAGTTCAGCCACATCCTACTGCGATTCCAGAGAGCTCAGCAAGTCTCAGTGCTGCTGACATAAACAGCTTTTTCCAGCACTTGGATGCTGTTGGGTCGGGGAAAGTCTCGTCAGCTGGGCTTGCCTTCACAATGAAACTCATTACCAGACACATTCATTCGCAGGAGACGCTTGCTGAGCTGTTGACTGCGTTGGATGCATTGAGACTGGAAGGACACGAGAGTATTACATCGGAAGAATTTGCCGCTGTGATGTCCAATGTGACTCATCCTACCATAGTCGAGTTGGTGCGGAAGCAGTCGCGTAACGATATCTAGTGCATCTAGCGAGAGAAGAGACATTACAGGGGTCAACGCACTTGATCTTACACCATAAGCTCGTCTTCTACGGCTCTATCCGAGCTTTGACTCTACCAGACTTTGCAGTTCCTTGAGCTCATCGAACCAAGTGCTCCAGGCATCTAAATCTTCCGATAAATCCGGCTCCTGTAGGAAAAAGTCACTTTAATGAGGACCTGTCAATGACTGAGCGTTAAAGGTAGTTTTACCTCCAGCACGAACACGGTTCTGGGCTGTGTTTCATCTCCTTGTTGGAGCTCTTTAAAGCCCATGGCAAGTAGACACTGGTGTCCACCAGGATACTGTCCCAGATCAGCGTGGAAGTGAACGTTGTCCTTGAGAATATGACGAAACGCGGCATTCTCCGGTGACTTGCAGATGTTGCTCACCACAGCCAAAAGTTTCTGCAGAGACTGTCGAAACAGCGTCTACTCTCAACAATAACACAGTTAATACCTCACGTTTCATCAAGAATTATCCACATATATCGTACCTCGTTGCTTGTGCCTTCTCGCAGCATGGCAATAGCCTTCTCAAGTCCCTCTTTTCCGTGCGGGATCGACGCGTTCAAGCGTTCGCGCTCCTGCTCCTCCAACTGTCGCTGGCGTTCCTCTTCCGCCCTCTCCTTCTCGCGCTGCTCGCGCTTCTTCTGTGCTGCAATAGCCAGCGCTTGAATCCGCTCTTGTTCTTCTCTTTCTCGTTCAGCTTCTCGCTCCCGGGCTTCATGTAAAAGTCTCTCCTTCTCCTGTTCATTGGCCAGTTCAGCAGCTCGCTGGGCGTCTCTAGCCTCTTTCTCGCGAGCAATTTCTTCCTGTTGCCTTATGACTTGTTGTTGCGCTAGCTGCTTGAGCTTTGACTCCACTTGTAGACGCAGAGGAGCGTCCTCTTCCATTGCGAGCTTTATGTTGTCATAACGATGTAATAGATCCTGCACTTTGGCTAGCATTTTGGGACCGAATCGAAGCTGGTTTGTTACGGGATCCACCATAGAGCAACGTGCGCGAAACTTCTCCATCAGGACGTCCACATCTCCGTCGATTGCAGTCTGTCGAGAAAATTTCTTAACATGTAAATCGACGCGATTATTGAATGTGGAAAAGGCACAGACGCACCAATATGAAGCTGAAGTTCTCCTCTAAATAGTCGTTTGCATTATCGTCGGCGATACACTGCTGAAGCTGCGCTAGACGCGCCTCGAGCGCGTCCACGTGAGCCGTAGCTTGTCGGAATTCGCTCATTTTGGTAATAATTAATGAAAGCCAATAATGTTGAGATTCCACACAATATATTTTTGATTTGCAATCAATTATTGGTGATTCACCGACACGGCTGCATCGGAACATCCAAAGCGGTAAGACTACTCCATGTTGCGCGGTGCTTATGGAAAGGCATCTAGCCATTCGTGAAATCACCGCAAAAAGTCTAAAGCAGAAATGTGACCAATCGAGATGTTCAAGTGAGTTTTTCGCACTGCAGGATTGGAATTGTGATCTAACAGTTGGATTCCTCTTCTTCCTCCTGTCCCAGTTGAAGAAGCAGTCAATTGGGAGAGGAGGAAGAAATCAGCCTTTGGTGTTGCATATTCTATTCTACTCGTAAATGGAGGCTGCAGTTCTCTTGCAAATTTGGCGGGGGCCAGTTTGTCTTCTGCGGTTAACGCTTCAAAGATGAGGTTGTTGGCTGCTGCGGCGCTGTGGCACTAGCGAGGTGCCTGTGCTTTTCAAGAGATATCTGCACAAATCTCCAGCTTCTTGGGACCGTATCTGTCTCTCAGCCACGCGTGTTCCTTCGGTTCCACCAAGCTCCTGGACTGGATCTGGGACTCAAGCGGCACGTCTGTAGCCAACTGAACATCGACATGTTTTCTCCACAACTTTTTGCGCTCCGACCCTCACTTTAACTGCGAACAGTTTATCTCGTCTCTCATGGTTGTCGTGGGCCGTAAGGATTTGGCTATAGTCGAGTGGCTATTCTCGCACTTCTCGGATTTTGAAGTGCCTGTATTTGTAGTTGCTGCCAGCGCGGGCAGTCTACCAATACTACAATTTTTTATGACTAATGATGCCAGTCGTGATGAAAGAGATGTCAAGGGTCAGAAGAAGAGAAAAGTGGAGGCAAATGACGGCGAGATTAAGGCAGAAAAGCAGAAGCCAAGTACAGCTGGAAGTCACGTGGTTCACTGGGGTGTAGACGTAATGATGGTCGCGATCGAGACTGGTGACCCGGAAGTTGTGCAGTGGCTACACGAAAATACGCCACACGGTGAGATGAATGGGATGTTGACCGAATGATTCGCTTTTCTTTGAGAAACGGGGATGACGAAATTGCCAAGATCTCACTGCCTAAAGGTAGATGCGTGTTGGACTACGAGTCATGTGAAAGTGTGAAGTTGATTGAAATGTTACTGGGCTGTGGATAGATTCAACGAGATGAAGATCTTGCTAGCGCGGCATCAAAGAGTTTAGCCAGCTTCGGCGTCTGGATCTCATGCAGCAGATTGTTCTACTTTACACTCCCCCTGGCCAAGTTCGACCGTTGAGCTTGAATTTCGTGGGCAGTGAGTTTGCATTCGTTGCGCTGGTGTATTTGGTGGACTGTCATTGAAACAGCATGTGAAAATGGCTATTTGTCAATGCTGCAATGGCTCCTGGGTCACCCCTTAGGTCAGGAATTTCGTGCAGATATGAAATCACGCCGACAATACTCTTCGCTCGTGCGTTTGGCAGGCCGGAATGACCACACTGAAATCATGCAATATCTTTACGAACAAGGCGCCGCTGATGTATGATTACTAGTCGAGTATCTTTAAAATACGAACGAGAACTGAAGAAATGAGTTCGCGAAGATCGCTACAATGAAGTCAAATGGATGGTTGAGCATATCCTGTTTCCTGGAGCCGGGATGACAGAATCCACGTTCATCGCTATTGCTATCAAATACCAGCGATTTAACATCCTCAAGCTTTTTCACGAGCTGGGCTCGTCGGGTATCATTGATCTGACTCAGAACGGAGATAATCGAGCTATTCAGCTCGCTAAGTGGTGGTCTATATCTCGACGTGCGATAGATTTTGCTGCTGGTGTCCGTCGACTGGATATGCTCCAATGGTTGTTGCCAAACCACCCCCAAAAGGTATCGAGCGATACTATGGACAGAACGGCGTGTGGTGGTCACTTGGAGATGGTCCAGTGGCTCCATGCTAACAGATCCGAAGGGTGCACAAAGAAAGCGATGGATGGTGCTGCATCCAGAGGCCACATTGATGTGGTAAAGTGGCTTCACACCAATAGATCCGAAGGATGTACCAAAGCTGCTATGGATGGAGCTGCAGCAAATGGTCATCTCGAGATAGTAAGATGGCTTCACACGAACAGGAGTGAGGGATGTACGGAGAAAGCAAAGGACAACGCCGCCAGCAACGGTCATTTAAATGTGCTGAAATGGCTAAACTTCAAAGGTAGTGTCTTTAAATTGACTATTTTTTTTCACTGCATCTATGAACTTTGAGGCAAAAGAAATGGTTGAAGAGCGTGTCAGTATGAAATCGGAGAAAACGAGCCCATGTGCAGCGAAATCAAGAAAGCAGCGGCAGCCAAAGCTCGAAAGTATCTAGAAAATGAAAACAATGGTGTAAAAGTAAAAGTAATGCATACGCAATCCATATTGAGTTAATCATCGTCTTCGAAAGATCGCGAGCTATTGTTAGTAGAGATAGACGCTGTAGGCAGTAGTAACGCAAAACAAGCTGTCCTATGAGCACACAATGCACAGTCGGTCAGTCGAAGTGTTGATCAGTTTCTACCTTGATACAATAACACAATACGCACATTGGAGAACGTCTCGGAGGCGTAGCAGTCTGTCTCAGCATCCCAGAAGCATCGACACCCCATTCTAAAACGTCAAGCACGGTCTCATTAGCAAATCTCCCTTTTACTTCGTACAAAGATATTGTAGTTCACACCTTACACCCTCGCCTCGCTGTTCGCCAATGACCACCTGCACGACGTACTTGAACCGAGAAAAGTCGCATTCTAGTCATCGCCACAACCAATAAGCATCAACAATAATTACAATACCAGCTTTCGATCCATTAACCTTTAAGCCGCATCTTGACTGCGTCTGCAATCTCCTTAGTCAGCGCCGCCGCTCGCTCTGACTGGTAAGTCGCATTGTCCAATTTCTCCGCCAATACTTGCCCAATCACTTGCTTCATTTTGGTCGTCGTGGGTTTTGCCTTCGGATTGAGCTGCAATCCCCTCGATCCTTCTGCTGCCGCCGGCATGTTGGCTCGAGCAATACTTGGCACTCGTCTCAATAATGTGTGTCGCTTCAAGATCATCCTGTCACTCCTGTACCTCATATCAGTGACATAATCACAACCAGGAAGACCATGGACGAGCTCCCATGTCTAGTGTGCGACCGGCCCCTGCCCAACGAACCCACGGCTCGCTGCCTCACCGACTGCTCTCACGAGTTCTGCCTCTCGTGCTTATGTCGCTCTCTGGCTGTCAACAAGAACCGCTGTCCTGGTTGTCACGCCCAGGTGAAGCGAGTGACGCAGCTGTTGCCACGAGGCGAAGACGCCCCGAAGCCAGCCTTCGTGCGCTTCTGCAATGCCGTTTACACACTTAACGTGTCCATCTGGGCTGTCGACGACCCAGCTAAAGTATTAGCCTCGCTATTCAATTTGTACGTGGTCTTATTAACGAAAACTCGAGACACTTAGCTCACTTGACCATGATCCAGGGAACACGCAAGACTGATCCACAATGGAAAACTACTTAAGAAAGGAGACGTGTGGCCAGGATCAGTAGTGCAGCTCTTTGGTACTCAAAAGGGAGCACTGCAGACAGCGGCGACAGGTAATTACTTGTCGTGGCTCAGCCATGAGTGGCTACAGCGAGCCAAGCAGGTCGTGTGCTGTCCGTTCAGTATCCTCTACGACTTTGTCCGCTCTCTGTTTGGCAACGTGGAGGAACAACAGCAGAGAGGACAGAGAGGATACGCTCCAATACCTACGATAGACACATCCACATCTTCCAGCTTCCGCGAACCGGGGCGGGTGCCAAGTCCAGACCACACTGCGGTGTTGTAATAAGGAGCAAACAGTTTTAACCCGTTCGTCTATGATGGTTTTACTACTTTCCTCTACATGCGGTCGTAGCCCACACTGCCATGCTCAAGCGCCACCAGCAGCTTCTCCCTGAGTACAGTACTTGTTGGATAATCCGGGAGGATCAATCGACGATCGCTGCAACAAGAGAACACAATGTAAGACATCTTACCACAAAGCTGACGATTCCAACATATCTTACCAAGTGTTGGCCATGGGACAGAAGCTTGTTTGCATCCGCGTGTCCACATCAATGTACCAGCACGCAGTATCCTAACAGCAACAGCATGTGAGCACTGAAATCAACAAATACCAGGCGTTAATAGCCAGACCTACCGCGTTCATGGAGCGATACTTGGAGTCAAAGCCGAAAATGGGCGGCAGTGGTGAACCAGACCAGAACGTCAGCAGCTTGGAGCGATTTTCTTGATCAAAGCTCTCGACGACTTCCCAGAAGCGCTGAACGACGCCACGAGACGGCAACGCACCTCGCGAGTACACCACATTCTTCTTCAGACTCTCAAAATCGATCGTGCGTTCTCCTCTCACGAGACGTCGGAGCTCTTCAGGGCGGAAAAGTTTCAGATCCGAACGCGCGATTGTATCGTTGAAGCCGTCCCGAATCTTCTTGTAGTACACGAGCTCGTTGCCGAAGAAGAACTGCTCAGCACGCAGCAAAACGTACTGCGCCTTGTTGGCGTTCGTCACTTCAACGTCGCCCATTCCATCTTGAAGCTCCATCTCCATACTCATCGTCACGTTCGAGGGTGCAGCAACAGCAGCATCCGTTGCTTCCTCCTTCTGCTTCGCTTCTTCGTCGACAATCACCACTTCTGTTGTGTACTCGAAGCGCATATCTAAAGGCTCACCGTCGAAATCGTGGTCCAACACAAACTGGAGACTGCGTTTGAACACGTCACTGCTTTCACAATAGCTTTCCCACGTCAACGAGCCGTCTCGCATCATGAACTTCCAGAATACCACAGGAAAATCGGCACCAAGTGGCTGATGGTTGCGAATTGACAGCCCGATCAAGCGACCAATGCAGAGATACACCTTCTTGAGCGCATCCACTTCACTGGGGTCCACAAGCATGTCTTTGCGAGATAGACTCAAGCTCTTGGCACTGCGCTTCGCGTCCATAACCTGCTTGCTGATGTACACCGGTCGTGGCGCGATGCCAAGAACTCCACGCTTCTGCTCGTCCACAAAGTCAAACAAGGGGAATAATTCAGTAAAGCCGCTGCTCTGTGTCGGTCGGCTACGTTTAGCGTTGCGTTTCTTGCTCGAGTCGTGAGTGTTTTGCGATCGAGCAAGCTGAAGCCACTGCGCTCCAATCTCCAGAACGTGAGGCGCTGGCGGAGCACCACGCGACTGCGAGCTTCCGGTCAATCCCGGCTGGAAGAAACATCTCTGGACAATCTGGAAAAACTCGCGGGTGACACCAACGCCCACCCCCGGTTCGTTCACCAACGTGATGTTCATTTCACCCTTCAAATTGCTAGCCGAGGTGCTCAGGATTTGCTGCAGGATGAAGTCCACGTAGTTCGCCTCAGACGCTCGGCTGATCGACACAGAGACGGAGCCGTTGCGCTCTTCTGCCAACATGGCCAGGTAATCCACTTTGTGCTCTAGACGGATAAGTCCCGGAATTGCCGCGAAGGAATACAAGTCCATGCCTAATACCTTGGGGTCGGAACGTATCAGCACATCCACACTGTCCTTTAGTGGGATCACTTTGTCAACGAAGGAGGCTGGGATTGGAAATGTTGCTGCAATCGTGTGTAGAAGGTGAGACTGCTCTGCAACGAACATCTTAATGCGCTTCTTCCTCGCTTCTTGCTTGACGAATCGGTTCATAACCTGGCAACCAACGGTTAAGTGTTAGTGAGACTCAAATGAATACTATTGTGGCATCAACGTACCCCAAACAGCTTCACTAGCGTCATATCTTCGTCGGAAACAAACGCGGCTTCTAACTGCTCGAACACTTGCAGCAAGTGAAGCAATAGGGAGAAACGTTGTGGTGTGGCAATAGCGTCATCCATACTCCCCAGTGCAGCATTCACCAACGTCCATAGCTGTTTAACTGGCTTGATCGCACGCTGGAAACTTTCAGTAATACCCAGGGGCTCCTTGCTCTCTCCGTCACGAATTATGCGAGCATATGGCGCGAAGAACTGGAGGAAGAGTTCAAACAAAGAGATCAACAGGTGAAACTCGATCTCCTCGTCATAACTCTCATCGTCTTCGATGTCCGTGCGGTCAAAAATGCAGAAAGCGAGCTTTGTGCCTACAGTGAAGTGCAATATATGCCACGAAATAAGGAAAAACTCCAATAAATATCACAATAAAACACTGGGAACCTACCAGAACGACAGAGCATCTCGGTGATACGTTCGAAGAACTTCAACTGGCTGCATTCCTCCATAACGGGTCGTTTGTCAGCAGCGAGAGGAGTCCCGCTAGCGAATGGAGTGAGCAGATGCATAAGGATCAGAGTCCACACCTTGACGCGCTTGGAAAGACTGTTGTAGGAAAGCATTCCGTTCAGGATCAACTTGAAGCCGTCGTGAGATAGTTCAATTGGCTGTTCGTTCGTCGGTATACGCTTTTTCTCCTCCTCATCAACTCGTGCAGCAGTGGTTGCTTCGAGATTGTGCCTTTTGTCAAGTGCTTGACGCCAAAGTGACTGGTACTCTTTTGCGTTCTTAACGGAGAGAGGATACACCGACGCCGCCGTGTACATCAAGCCATCGATATACACAAGTTTCTCCTGTTGCGTATCTGGCATCTGAGCGATCTGTACAGCAGTAAATAACCCCAATAAGTTGACCACTATAAAGTATCAACCGATGCAGAAAAACCGTACCTCATTGATAATCGAGACAAGGCCCACTTCCGCTAGCACAAGAGCTTTAATGTAGAGTCCTCGTAGGCCTTCGTCCCCCTTACGCGAGAAAATAGCGCCAACCCCTAGATTTACAACAGCTAAACGTCAGTCTCGTCAATATTCCATGCAACATAAGTATTTCCACACTACCTGAATTCTTGGTCAGCTCCATGACGGTTCTCGTCACATGGAAGGCTTCTACAGCGCGATCCGGACGCGACCTAGTAAACGTTTGCTTGTCTGACACAGCAGTTAAAGAACGTCAGCCATCTCCACCTTATAGATCTAGAGAGCAGCCTCAGCACACACCAGCTTCACTCTGTTCCTGCTCCTGCTCTTCCTTCACGTCGTCTCCCTCCTTTTCTTCCTCTTTGCTCTCCTGTTTCTTTTGTTTGTGTCTCCTTCTGTTCCTTCCCTTACTTTTCTTCCCTCCAGTCTCTACTTCTGGTCGTGGGGGCTCACAGAACTGCATTGATCTGGCCTGGAACGCGTTCATCTCCACTACATGCAGCAGCGAGTGCTCCACGGCGTTTCGAGCATTAAATTCCACGTCAAACTCGTCCGCACGTTCCCTCAACATCTTCAGCGCCTTCCAGTTGCTCAGTCCTGCCGCAACATGCAACAGAGAATTCACTTTATCCGGTTTGGCAGTCAGTAATTCCTTCAGTTGGTTCTGCTGCTTGGCGTATCTTAATAATTGCTCCAAAATCAGCAGCGCCGCGTCGTTCTGCTCCTCTGTTCGACCATTAGCGACGCAGAAAAGCAGTAAAACTGTGACCGCATTCACTTGACCAAATGTTTTGAGGAGATTTACCCTCTTTTGGGACTGGGACAGCAGCAGTGTCACCAGTTTTGGTTGGAGTGCCATACAGGCAGCGATGAGAGGTGTGAGTCCCACGCGGTTGGCACTGCGGTTGCTACTGGAGACGTTAACGTTGGCTCCGTGGACGGATAGTAGACGTGTAGCCATTTCAAGACGTGCATAGCGACAGGCCTCAACTAATGGAGCGTCGCCATGTGGTGTACGGCGGTTCACATCCAGCTTCGGAGTCTGGAGGAGAGACGAGAAGGCGTCGAGGTCGTTGCGTCGAATGGCGGTGACGAGTTGAGAAGTGACAGGCGGGGAAGACGGAGGAGTGCTGCTACTCGTGGTCTTGGCCTTGGGCTTGCGGTTGGGCCGGCGGCGGGGAGTAGCAGAAGCCATCTCGGTTGAGCTTGTTCTTCAAACCTAATGAGAGCCATAATTTTTTTAATTATTCCAAAAATCAGTAATTTTCTAGTAGAGTAATTCCCAATAACTGTGTAAATAATTTAGGCAGCATGGCGTGATCTCTCCGAGCATCAGAAAAAAGAGAATTTTAGTTCTTGGAACAGTGGCAATCTGGATAAAATTTGAATAAATGACGGATAGATTACCGACAGATGTTCCAACACTGTTCCAGTAGAATAACGAGGGCTGCGTTGTTCCACTGGCATATACTTTTGGGCCAAAGGGAAGTGATCCTTTTTCAGACAATTGTTGTTCCAAAACCTCCAGTTATTCCAGGAACTAAAGTCCTCTAATGGCAGATACCGGGAGGGAGTCCGGACAACACTGATACTATGCGACAGAAGAAGCCATTACTGCACATCAACTGCACATCAAATTACGCCCGCTTACTTCATTCCGGACATAGATGAATAGGAAAAAGATCGCAAGCACAGAAGTGGAGAGGCATGATCAGAATGGCCTTAACTCGGCTGTAGACTTCAAACCAGGAGGAAAAAACACACACACACACTCGCCAAAACAGGCATGCCGAGGGATGTCTTTCCAAGCTGGCAAATCGCTAATGGAGGGCCCGCAGTCAAAAGGGGTCCACAATTACCGTACCTCACAGAAGGAATTTTTTCAAAAGGGTGCGTATGGCACTCGTCTTAACATCAAAAAGCACGCTAGAAGGCGAATATGCATTCTTCGTGTTAAGTTTTAGCTCGTCAATTTCAAAAAGGCGCTCGCTAGCTATGTCTCCTACTCCAGGCTTTCAGCTGTCTGGTTCAGTAGTAAGGAGTTGTAGACCTCGTTATCTTGAAGACAACTCATGTGATCTTGGAAAAGTTGATTGTCAGACTGTCTCGGATCCTGGCCAAGCCTATTGAACATGTATTCCATATTCCGCCTCGTCTCCTGCTGCTCATTCACCACCAATATTGCTTCTTCGACCCAGTGAATCACTTGCACTCGGTCCACTTTGTACTTACCTCCCGGTGGTATAGTTTGCGAGACCTTCCATCGTATGAATTTCTTCTTAATGGCAGCCTTTAAGGGTCGGTTAGCGTACAGACCACAGATATGCATGATTGAGGACAATCATGCGGGAATGAACTCGTACATGACTCCTTTCAGCTCTAAATAGTCAATCACTTCCTGGCATGTGTGAGCAGAAGCAGCATCCCAAATTAATCCGATCTTTTGACACGGAAACAGACTTATGAGGAAGTCGATATACTGTTTTGCAGTTGGGGTGTCCATCCAGTGTGGCGGCTGGAAATGGACACTAGCGTCGCCACCTTTATCACGCCACGATGCAAAACGGCGCGCAAGGGTGCCATTATGTGTCGCTGCCATCACGATGAAAGGAGAAAGGATCATTGACGAGTACATTTCAGCCGAAACCATTACCGTACACCCTTTCTTAGCATCTGAAGCCACGTTCGAGCCAACACGTCGTGTACCCGTAGGTACAACGAATTCAGTATCTCTTGGATAGAAGTTGATGAACATCTCGTCGGCATTTATCAACACGGTACACGCCTTTAGCTTGGCTCGAATCTTATTTGACGCTTCTAGCGCGACTGCGACCCAATTTGGAATGGCTTGCACAACTGTTTTCAACTTCATATTCTCTACAAACGGTATCCATTTCGGGTAGTACGAGTCCTTAGATATCCAATTTGAAAACGTAGCGTGGGGGACGCCAAAACCCTGCAGATAATTTCAGAATCCGAGTTGCCTAGAGAAGGGTGTAAGTAGTAGAAGACGACGAAAGATCGCTCTTTCCAGGTCATGATGTTGTAATGCCGGGTAGTTGCTGAGCTCCGCGGTATACTGAACGCACCCGACAGCTGTGTAAGTACCGTCTCAACCATCGATAGAATGATGCCATGGCAGACACGGTGAATTTGTTGTTCTTTATTCTTGCTTCTGCTGCTTCGATATCCATTGTAGCTCGGGACTTTCTCGACAGCTCAGGGTAATCAAGGAGACGGATCTGAGCATTCATGGTGTTTGTCTTCGCACGAGCCTCTTGCGCATTTACCCATTTCGTGTTCGACGAGTCTTGCAGCAGAAACTTCTTCATGATGGCCACAAGGAAATGAAAGTGCTGACAGGAGGAGGGTGGAGCCCGTTGAGATAAGAAACCAGGAGGAATGTCTATAATTGACTATATAGCAGGGTAAGACAAACTGCTTTCTTAGTGTTAAGAATTTGCTGCTAAACGAAACCAAATGCTCGATTTTCTTCGAATGGAAATCTATCTGTTACGCATCTCTTCTGTGAGGTACGGTAAGAGCAGGAATTAAGAATTAAAGATATGACTTGTATGAGTCCATCCTCGATGCGCAGCCACACGTCCACTGATCAAAGAGTTTCTCCGACGCTAGTGGTGCGTAGTCATTCTCGATATTTTAGTTCGTACCCCCCCCCCCCCGCAAGTCCAGCAAGGCCAGGCCAGCAATACGCTAAAAGCAACCGCGCCCTGGCACCCTTCAACGTCAAACACGATCCCTTGCACCGGCGTAGCTTAAAAGACCAGCGCGAGGCTCAATTCCAGCCGTCGGCAAACCCGTTTGGTGCTCTTGGAAGCTGCCCGGGTGTGTGCACGCGCTGGCGATCTAGGGTATCTTTTTCGTCCTAAAGGTAAGTTATGGGTATAATTTGTCCGTTTGCCTCCTTACACAGGAACAGGGCGGTGAGTGTATGAACTGCGCCAGGGTGCGAAGTTTTCAGTTGCTTCCATCGCTCATGCAGCGACGCAGCTTTCCGAGCTGGCTTCTTCTTGACGAACGAGTGGAAACGCTCATTTGCAGCGTTGTCCATCTCCACAGCAAATGTCCAGAGCGAATCTTCCAGCTTCGATTATCGCCCATTTCCGCAGCACTGCTACTGTGGGCTCCTGGGGTATCTTGTAGGCCTTCTGGTAAAGTATCAGCATAATGTTCACGGCCGCTGTTGCCTCTGACCGCTCGTTTTGCTCCTTCTTTCGTTTAACCGTTTGCCAGTTGTGTTTTGTGTACCAGTTGAGCAGGCTTCCAGCAAGTGTTGTCGTCGTGGAACTACGGAACTAGCAGCGGTGGGTTGATATGCCTGTATTGCTCTCGGGTTTGGGGTGACAGATAGCTGTTGTGCTTGCGCATCCTCAACGCGCCCGAGTCTTTCGCTAATAGCCACGAGCAGGCTCAAGATGTTTTTCAGAGTGGAGGAGAGCAAATTGTCGCGCCCAGCCGCGGTACCGCCGAGCTGGTGTGATTAGTAGCCTGCCAATGCACCTTCATGTGAGATCGTCACTCGCAGCACGTGTTATATTTTCCCCACTTGGTTTTATAGATTAACGCTAAAGGTTTTCCCTCATTGAGGTTTCCGTCGTCAAATACCGAATTACAAGAGGCATAAGTATTAGTTTTCATGCATAAAGACAAATGTTTGCTGGGGAAGTTCATTATTAGTTAGCCAAACCGGCAAAAACCTACTGGCTCCTATCATTTACTTCTGTGTGCAGACGATGAACGGACGAACAAAAGCATAGACATCAATCCGATCCTCCGCTGACTCGATCGGCTTACCTTCTTCCAAAGCGTAGATAAGCCTGTCCTTGCCCTGAACTGCGAGAGCAAAAACGCGGCCGGCGCTTTGACGGTTGTAAGCTGCAACAACGTAGACACCATCCTTGGTCTTGATCTCCCTCGCGCACGCACGCCACACCGTCCGGCAATCGCGAAATTGTCCAAGGCAATTCTTCTGTAGACGAAGTCACGCCCAGCATCCCGTAGACGGCGCAGGGAGACTAGAACATGTCCCGTACGTAATGTCCTCTCCACGAGAAGTCTTCTGATGCTCCACAAAGTCGTCGATGTCTTGCTGCTTCACGATATCAGGGCGTCCGGTTAATTCCACTGCTGCCTCAATGCGTTGAATACGCAGAGCCCTTTCATGTCGGTACCGATAGCATTTTTGCCATACTCTTCGGTAGGCCAGATTTTAGCGAAGGTCTTGGCCTCGGAGACTTTCTACCTGTCCACCAGCTCGATCTCTAGCCGGAAGTTGTCGACAAGTAGCTAAGCGCGAGGTTCCCACGTCCGCTGGTATTGCCGTCGTTTCTTGACGAGGGGGTTAACCCACAGCATCTGGTACTAGTATTCCAGTAGAGCGTCGTCATGCATGTCGTTAATCCGAGCGACCTGCAACTATTCGTTGGTTGTTGCAAAATTTGAGGTGACAGTCAGCTTTGGATCTCTCGTAGTTCTTTCCGTAAATGCGCCAGTACATTTCAGACTCGCTTCTGCTGTCACTATCGTCGTTAGTGTCGTTAGACACATAGTTGGTGTCAGAATTTATTGTTTCTGTGGTTTCTGTACAGCTAATGGAAGTATCACAAACTTCCCTCAGTTTAGTGACATTGGTCCGAAAGCTGGCCACGTAGGCGCGAGACTCTTCCTCCTTCACCACCACTTCTACTAATACGTCAAGAAGCGCTGGGGCAAGCTGAAAGTTCACACGAGAGTTCTTCTTCTTTGCCACGAAGGCACACGCCACTGCTGGTGCAGCCTCTTCGGACTCTGGTATACAGCATCTGATGTATCTCCAGCCTCTGGAGCAGCATTCAAGGCCTGAGGCACAGCCTCAACAGCTACTGGCTCGGCCCTCGTAGCCTCAGCCGCGGTGCTGTATGTTGTTACTGCCTCTGCGTGTGCGCGAGTGCCGCCGCTTGCGCCTTCTTGCGCGTTCGTAGCCGTTTTGAGGTGGAGTTCTTCTTCTTCCTTTTCTGGACGCGCGGACCTGCTTCATCGCTGCGGCTACCACTGACGGCGGCGTGGCTGTCATCTTCGAATTCCAACCAGGGCGTGTCTCCTAGCGTTCTCCTTCCCTTGTAGTTGGTAGACTCCCTTGGTGGCGTTTCAAAGACTGGACATTACCCTTTGAAGAAAACATACCTCCAGTATTACATATATTCGTCAGTATAAAAAGTATGTTAAGAGGCAGGGAGGCTGTTGAAGTAGCCACAACACATTATGGTTACCCTCAACAGAAACTCTCTTAGAGGTTATAATCGGAACAGTCCTACTTAAGTCGTTATGACTGGCTCTTACAATACTGTAATGGATCATTGTCCTCTCTAATGGCTGGTGCGTAGCTGGCAGTAGATTTCTTAAGTCTAATGAACCTCACTTCGTCTTTTGACGTTTCCTTACCACAATCCTTCTCTCTACGTTCTCCTCTATCATTAGCTAACCTCGCCATAGGACCTTTTAGGAGAGCTCAGTTTTTAGTGTACGTTTGTTGGTACTTACTTAAGTAACGAAATATTCGACAATAGTATACTTTTATAATTTTTGCTATGTTTACATTTTTTTCTTCACGATCGTGACGGATATTTGTTTCCTTCACGGTCATACCGCTTTGAATGTAGGTCGCACTTCTTCCAAACGC